ATTTTAAAAATATTATAATTGAATTTATTAAAAAACTTTTCTCTCCTCTCTCTGTTTCCCCCACTTAAACATACTATTTATATTTTATCATTTTGTATTTTTAAACATTTAATTATGGGACCAACTCGAACCATTATTCTTGAAAAGGAAAATATGAATCTTACAACAGTGACTAAAATCATTTGATCCACGGGTGAAGTTCTTATATTCTACCATCTTAATTATATAAAATGGCAAAATATCAATAGTTAGATATAGGGGTTCTTCCCATCATCCAAAGCACTCCCAAGTTCAATAATTAATGTTCTTCAACCTACAAAATATATTTTTTTGAAGTATTTATCAATAATTTTTCTTTTCAGTAACTTTGGGGGGTGAAAATAAATCTTTTCAGAAGTAAAAACAGTAAACATCTTTTACTGGGGTAAAAAGTGGCGAACGAGCGTTACATTATTATCAACTGAACGGCGCGTGGGTCCCGCTTCACAAACTGAGGTCATCCTTTTCACCGGACAGTTACGTTCTTTGTCACCGACTCACACGTGGCGGGCACAGATTTGAATGGCGCGTGCTCGTGTTTTGAACGCCGAAATTGGGCTTTGACCTTTTGGGTTGGCTTACGCTCCGTTATTAATAGCCCTCTGTTTGTCATTTTCCGTAGTCCTATTTACGTTCAGGACTACTACTATTAATCTTTCAACTCATCCACTCAAATTTGTAGTCTTTAGTTGATTCAACATAATGTATATATCAAAATATTGTTTAGCGATTAAGATGTTTTTAAATTAATTTATATTTATATTAAGATTATTTTTTTTAATTTAATTAATAATTAATATTATATTTAAAATTTTTAATTAAAAATAATATTTTATAATTGAAATTATATTATATTACTACATCATATATAATCCTTGAATGAATTGATCTAGTGTAAAGCCTCACATACCTAAATACTTAAATTCAGTACGTAGTTGATTAAAAAAAATATGTTCGATATAAGCTAATTAAACCATAAAAACTATTTTGTTTCCAATTAAGCATTGAGACATAAGCCATAAAATGGTTAAGTTTCGGGTAATAATCATTATAATTGAGATTTTTTTTTTGTTAGAGATTAGACATTATAAATTTCTAGCTATTTTATTTCCTGATTATTTAAACGAATGTGATGTTTTGGAAACAAATTCAGTTTAATTCAATGGTAAGGTAGGGAATGTGAAATTTACATCGGTCTAGCTTGATACCCACTAGACTTAGGTTTCTTGAAAAATTGAAAATGAACAAGTTTTTTATTAATTAAAAAAAGGAGAAACCAATTCATAGCCCAAATTGTCAGTCTCAATTCACAGTTAACTTTCAGCTATGCGTAAGAATTTTAGCTTGAGGGGATGATGCATTTCCAATTCTAACGTAAACTAGCCAACACAAGCCAGGTCAGAATTGAAATAGACAACCTGATTAGACAAAACCCATTTCCTAAGTCACGCCATTTCTTGTTTAATTTCCCCTAAATTCATCGGATCATCCCCACATTCACAAGCTTTAAGTCCAAAAGCCATCATTATTTAGACACTACTAAATATGGTAGTTAACAAAAATTAATTACTTTTCAAAAAAAATGAAGAAGTAATATTGTGGGTAACCAAAGTGATCTCCATTCTCTTAAATAAATAAAAAAAAAAAAAAGCTCTATTGCTTCATTTTTGGCTTTATTATATAAAAAAGAGAAAGGGAAAGGCTGAGTCATTTTCAACGCAGTGATCGAGAGTTGGCGTCTTTTGCCCTCTACGCAGCTTAAAACACGCAGTGGCAAATTTAGACACTCCCTTTAATACGTTTCGAATTCTAAAACCCCATTATTTCTACAGATTTAGATCAAATCAAAAGGGAAAGCAAAGTTGTACAAATTTTTTTTTTTTAGCAATATTAAATATGCTGCATAGTTATTTCCTAGAGAGAGAAATTTATGTGTTTTTTTTTTTAGAAAATTCATGAGAATGGAAAAAAGGGCAGTTGAGAATTGCTAGGCTTATCGCATGTTTGCTTCACGCAAGCAGCTAAATGGTAAGGCTTTACTCTCTCGCGTGGCTTTAAAGGCTTCTTCCAGCGTTTTAAATCCCTGTTAAAAAAACCCCCACCAAACTTTTAAAATATCAGTACCCCTTCTCCTTCTCGTCCTTCTTCTTCTTCTTCTTCTTCCTCGAATTAAGGTCGCTGCAAACCCTAATCATTGGATATATATGGGTCTAAAATAGAAGGCTTTTTAACAATAATTACAACTATGAGTGCAAACCCTAGTAGTAGCGGTGGTGGGAGTAGCAGTGGTGGAGGCGGTGGGGGACCGTGCGGTGCGTGCAAGTTTTTGAGGCGGAAGTGCGTCCCGGGGTGTATCTTTGCCCCGTATTTTGATTCTGAGCAGGGTGCAGCCCATTTTGCTGCAGTGCACAAGGTTTTTGGGGCGAGTAATGTGTCGAAGCTGCTTCTGCATATTCCTGTTCATAAACGGCTCGATGCTGTGGTTACCATATGTTACGAGGCTCAGGCCCGCCTCAGAGATCCTGTTTACGGCTGCGTTGCTCACATCTTTGCTCTTCAGCAACAGGTAACGCTTTCTTGATAAGGATTAAATCCTTGTTTTTTTCTGTACTTTCTTGCCTTCTTTGTCGTTTGTAGTTTTACCGTGTCAATTTTTTGTTAAAGAAATACTGTAATCTCTTCTTTTTCTAAGTGGTAGTAATTATTGGTTTTACGATGAATAAATTGGAGATGGGATGATTTGTGCCTTAAACAAGAGAGGGGTGTCCAGTGTGTCCTGAAATCGAAGGGGAGATTATAGTAGTGAGAAATACTACTACTATGGTAAGAAGTTGCATGTTGTGATACATAGGGGACAGTTTTGGGGTTTGCTGAAATTTAGAAAAGTCTTTTAATTAAGAAATAATTTGGTCGGCGGGCACCACGAATGGTTGGCCAGTTCTCTGTGCAAATTGTGGATTTTGCTGGTATTAGGGAAATGGTCGGTTTTATGTTTCTTTTTAAGGTCATTACTTTGGACAGACGGGGATAATTAGTTCTGGTATAATTGTAAAGTGAGGGATAATTAGTTCAAATGTCATGTCCCATATATACAGCGGTTCCTTAATTTCCTTACTTGCTGAATGTAGGTTTGGTCCAGTTAAATATGTACGAGTTTTGTTTTAGTTTGTCATGAGTTGATAGAGAATGTGTGTTGAATTATGTGTGTATATCAATAATTTTTCATGTTTTATTTATTTATATTTTTTTGAATATTATATTTATTAAGTTCATACCCTATCCTCGTAAAACAATTAACATAAAGTTTGATTTTATGATTAAGGTTAGAATTCTCAAATTTTTTGAACTAAATTAAGAACAAGTTTTACAATTCAAATGACATTAAATTATAAAATATTAAAATCTTTCTATTCAATAACTAGTATTTTAATTTCAATTTAAACTACAAAATATCAGATACTCAAACTTAATATGATTATCATGCATGTTAAATTTTGGAATTAGCAACAATATCTTTCTTTAAAAAAAAAAAATCAGTTTACTTCCAATTGCATCAATATGCATGTGTTCTCACTCAATTGATACATGTGTATATACATTTTCTTTTTTGATATTCGTGTATATATCATTCTTTAATTGTTTGAATAATTAAAGGCTGATCACCTTATAAGCAAAACTAGCTTCCCCCTTGTATTGTCGTCTTTATATTAGGGTTAAAGATATTCAATTGAGTATTAGTCGTCGAGAGAGAATTTTGCTAACCCTTTGGGTCCTCCTCCTCCTCCTCCTTCCCTAGGACCATTTACAATTATACCAACTAAAAAAAAAAAAAATTTCTGTTGAGTGTCACTATTTATCATTTTTGTATCATAAGAAAGATTGATTTGTTTGCAACGCCATGTTGTGTCTTTCACATTGTCAGAGCACTATTTTGGTATAAACAAAGGCGAACAAGCAACCTTGATTCTTGAACTTACCTCAAAAAAAAAATTTTTTTTTACAGTAATATCAGCATTATTGTAACATCGATTGGTTTCTGTCACATATCTTACATCAATTGATTGAAATTAGTGAAAAGACGTTTAATTTTGAACATCAATTTCTAAATTTATGTTTTAATATTTATATATTTTTTGTTGTTACTCATAGGTGGTGAATTTGCAAACGGAGCTGTCATACCTACAAGCCCATTTGGCAACACTAGAGCTTCCATCGCCGCCACCGCCACCTCCACCGCCACCAACACTCATGACACCACCTCCACTCTCAATCTCCGACCTTCCGTCTGCCACCTCGGTCCCCGCTGCATACGACTTGTCGTCTCTCTTCGAACCGATTGTGCAACCTTCATGGGCCATGCAGCAGCGGCAAATGGATCCACGGCAATTCGGCGGCAGTACTTGCTCTTCATCAACGGGGAGTGGTGATCTTCAGGCTCTGGCACGCGAGCTTCTCCACAGACAAGAGTCTCCCCAACACGGTTCGGCACCGTGCCTTGATCCTTCGTCACCATCTATATCTAAATGAGACTGACCTTGAAATAGTATTACTTGGGCTTAATTTTCGCGTTGTATTTCATTGGGAAAGTAATTATCTTAAAACCTTTAGCTATCCTTTTTTTTTTTCAATATTTTTGTTCCTTTATACTTTATTGGTATGCCCTTTTTGATATATTAAGGGAATTTAAGTTAGTTCAGAAATAAAAAATTGTATCATCTTTTTCTTTGCTTTTATTGAATTAATAAATTTATAAATTTAAGTTGATATCCTAAATTTAAACTTTAAGCTTTTAAGACATATAAAGTCTATTATTTGATTATAATATGAGAATGAAAACACAAATTTTTTCTATAAAAAGATTAAGGTATAGTATCTAGGATTTGAAATGCAAAATACAGATTCTGAATTTAAACTGTGACATGATCTTCAAGAGCTGTCCTTGTTTCTTATTTCTAAAACAATTTGAGGTCCACCTGCACCCGGTATTTAAGCCCAAGTGGCTGTGTAGAGGGCTCTCCGAGTCTTAATTAGGAGTACTCGTGTCCAAGTCCCCCATCCCCCAAGTGGCTGTGTATAGGGCTCTCTGAGTCTTAGGACTCGTGTCCAATTTCAGACCCATCCAACAAATAGACATGACATCAGTGAAGCTCAAATTCACGTTTGCCATCTAGGCTATCAGTAGAAGTTACCTTCAGAAGAAGAGGTTGGCTTCCAGAATGTTATGAGGAGGGACTTGGGGATTAATTGTAAAACAGCAACCTTGGAATATGGTTCTGACGTTGCATATTCTATAATAGAGGGTCCATTTCTTCTTACGTTGTTTGGACGGAAAATTGCAAGTTCTGCAAGAACAACATGGCAAATTACAAGCAGAAATGACCGTAATTACATGTCAAATTGTTTTCTTTTGCTTCTGAGATTGAGTTGTTACTGGCATTTCTGTGGAGATGGAGAAGAAGGGACATAAGAGGTTTTTTCATCTGTTTCATAGTTCACGGGTCGCAGGCCCAAAAAGAAGAGTTCATATGAAAAAGTGAAATGAGCTATCAGATAGGCCTTGGGCCTCATTTTAAACCTGATTACAGCCCAAACCTACAAAATCCAGCCCAGTGTTTATAGTAATTTGGGCCTTAGCCCTCACTTTAAAGACACCCTTTTTTTTTAGTTAATTTATGAGTAAAAAACACATATTAATAGTATAATAAATATCTTTTTTATAATTTAATTTATTTAAAAATGATAAAAATTGATATATATTTTAATATTATTAACACATGAATACTTTTAATTAGTTAATTGATTAAATCAAAATCAACATTTATATTTTTTAAAAAAATTAATTATGAAAAAATATATATTTATTGTACTATTATCTTATATTTTAAGATACATAATAAAAAAATCTTTTATTTATTTATTTGTTTCAAATTTTGATTTGACCTCAATTCTATTTGACAGGTAATTATCATTTGACAATGATTTGTGATGGAAATACATGCACGAGATAATGCCATCACTTACAATAAAAATCAACCTAATAAATCGTGTAATGGACACTCATAAGGGGATGTCAATTAGAATATGCTTAATTATTTGAGAAAAATTGAAAAAAAAAATCCTACTCCCTTTAATAAATTTTATTTATTGAAAAAAATGAAAAAAATGAGTGTTACATCATTGTAATCTAAAGCAACCTTTTTGTCATCTAGCTTTGCTTGTTTTGATAATTTAAGAATCTTATAACTTAATATAAAATATTAATATAATTGCAAAGTCCGATAATTTTAAAAGTCGGGGAAATGCCGGTGGCAGCGCAACTAGCCGGGAATCGTGGGCCGATCCGGGGTAAATATGAAGGAAGCAATTCTGGAATACCCGATTTGACCTTGACAGCCTTTGATAATTGCATTAAACCTGTTGAATGAGTTTCTTTATATGTGCAACGTTGAAGGTCTTCCTGACTTCTCAATAAATAATCAAGGACATTTTCGTCATAAGAAGTTTTAACCGGACTCCCAAAAGAAAAAAAAGACAGTATGCGATCTGAATCTCAATCTCGCTGAGTATTAACGAAGCTCGCTAACTTCTCGTCGTCTTCCGTCTATCGTTCTTCACTTTCCCTAGATTTATGCAGTTAGAAGCAGTGCCATACCGTCGACTCGCCGCCGACTCAATTCGCCAACATTTCTTACTTTGATAGCAAGCAATCGACCAGCTCGACGGGGAGAAAGAAGAACCCTAGCATTTTCGTATCCATTTCCTAGATCTGATTCACTGAGTTAAGAGTCATACCGACTCGGGAATGGCTTCTTCGGAAGCCGATTCCCGCTTGAGCCAAGTACTAGCCCCAGCCTTAGAGAAGATCGTTAAGAACGTCTCCTGGCGCAAGCACTCCAAGCTCAGTCACCAATGCAAATCGCTTCTCGAGAGAATCACTTCTCCTCAGAAAACGCCTCTTAATTCGTCAGATTCGGAGCCTGAGAACTCGATCCCTGGCCCACTCCACGACGGTGGTCAGGTAGAATACTCTTTCGCTGAATCGGAGTCCATCCTCAACACTCTAATCAATGCCTGTGGCACTGGCGTCGTCAAGATCGTTGATCCCGCCATTGATTGCATCCAGAAGTTGATCGCACACGGATACCTGCGAGGCGAAGCCGACCCCACTGGAGGCCCCGAGGCTCAGCTGTTAGCGAAGCTGATCGAAGGTGTTTGTAAGTGTTACGATTTAGGTGACGATGCAGTTGAATTGCTGGTCTTAAAGGCGCTACTCTCGGCCGTCACCTCAATGTCTCTGCGGATTCACGGAGATTGTTTGTTGCAGATTGTGAGGACTTGTTATGATATTTATCTAGGGAGTAAAAATGTTGTTAATCAAACGACGGCGAAGGCGTCATTGATTCAGATGTTGGTGATCGTGTTTAGGAGGATGGAGGCTGATTCTTCGACTGTCCCAGTTCAGCCCATTGTAGTGGCTGAATTGATGGAGCCAATTGAGAAATCGGATGCTGATGGATCAATGACGCAGTTTGTGCAAGGATTCATAACTAAAATCATGCAGGACATTGATGGAGTGCTAAATCCAGTGACGCCTGGAAAGGTTTCAGTAGGTGCTCATGATGGTGCCTTTGAGACTACAACAGTTGAGACCACGAATCCGGCAGATTTGTTGGACTCCACGGATAAGGACATGTTGGATGCTAAGTATTGGGAGATAAGCATGTACAAGACTGCATTGGAGGGAAGAAAAGGGGAATTGGCAGATGGAGAAGTGGAGAGAGAGGATGATTTGGAGGTTCAGATTGGGAATAAGTTGAGGAGAGATGCATTTTTGGTGTTTAGAGCCCTTTGTAAACTGTCCATGAAAACTCCTCCCAAGGAAGCTTTGGGAGATCCCCAGTTGATGAGAGGGAAGATTGTGGCTCTTGAGTTGTTGAAGATTTTGTTGGAGAATGCTGGTGCTGTTTTCAGAACCAGTGAAAGGTATAGCTATTTCACCATTTACACTTATTTTTTTCATGCCTTTTCTTTTCATTTAGAATTGCATCTAAGATTTTGCTATGTGCATGGTAAATGTCAAGTTTTCATGGCATTCAAGAGCAAGTAGAGTACATGTAATTATATATTTCCTTTATGAAAAGTAGCCTTTTGTTAAGTGCATTTGATGCATGTCATTTGTAGCTTATGAACTTTTTTCATGCCGATGTTGCATAAGAGATTGTGGTATTTAATATTCTTTGATCACTGCAGGTTTTTAGGTGCCATTAAGCAGTACTTGTGTCTTTCATTGTTGAAGAATAGTGCATCAACTCTTATGATTGTTTTCCAGCTTTCTTGCTCCATTTTCATCAGTCTGGTGTCACGATTTCGACCTGGACTTAAGGCAGAGATAGGAGTTTTTTTCCCCATGATTGTTCTCAGGGTCTTGGAGAATGTTGCGCAGCCTAATTTCCAGCAGAAGATGATTGTTCTTCGCTTTTTGGAGAAACTTTGTGATGATTCACAAATCTTGGTAGATATCTTTATTAATTACGATTGTGATGTCAATTCATCAAATATTTTTGAGAGGTATGTTGTGTAACCTTGTTCGTAAGTAGCATGAAAATTAACTTTCCCTTTGATAGCAGATCTTCTGCTAGCATGTTCTTTTTCCATTCATCACCAGTGTTATGTGGTCACCTGCCATGATTTTACATTTGCTTATTGTTCTTTCTTACCATTATTGTTCTCTTCAGAATGGTCAATGGACTTCTTAAAACCGCCCAAGGTGTCCCTCCTGGAACAGCCACTATACTATTGCCACCTCAGGAAGTAACCTTGAAACTTGAAGCTATGAAATGTTTGGTGGCTATTTTAAGATCAATGGGAGACTGGATGAACAAGCAGTTTCGAATCCCTGATCCTCAGTCTACCAAGCGGTTTGAAGCAGTTGAGAACAGTCTTGAACCTAGAAGTCTCGTCATGGCAAATGGTAATGGGGATGAGATTGTCGAAGGATCGGATGCTCCTTCTGAAGCATCTAGTGAAGCTTCTGATGTTTTGACAATTGAGCAGCGAAGAGCTTACAAGCTAGAACTTCAGGTAAATATCTAAATAAATTTTGGGAAGCAGATCAAACTCCTATTGATTTTTCAGTTGATCTTAGTCCTTGAAATTTAATTTAATATTTGTGACAGGAAGGTATGTCTCTTTTTAATCGCAAACCTAAGAAAGGAATCGAATTTCTAATTAAAGCAAATAAGGTGGGTGACTCACCAGAGGAGATTGCAGCTTTTCTTAGAAATGCATCTGGGCTAAACAAAACCTTGATTGGTGATTATCTTGGAGAAAGGGAGGATTTATCACTCAAAGTGATGCATGCCTATGTTGATTCCTTTGATTTTCAAGGTATGGAGTTTGATGAGGCAATCAGGGCTTTTCTGCAGGGTTTTAGATTGCCTGGTGAGGCACAGAAGATTGATCGAATCATGGAAAAGTTTGCTGAGCGTTACTGCAAATGTAATCCAAAGGCTTTTATTAGTGCTGATACAGCCTATGTGCTCGCTTACTCTGTAATAATGCTCAATACAGATGCCCATAATCCTATGGTTAAGAACAAGGTGTGTCTTCTTATCTCATTTCATCCAGTTGATGTTTAATGCAGGAAGCTGATAAATTGATGGTTTTATCTGTAGATGTCAGCTGATGATTTCATAAGAAATAATCGTGGCATTGATGATGGAAAAGATTTACCAGAGGAGTATCTAAGATCATTGTTTGACCGGATATCGAGAAATGAGATCAAAATGAAAGAAGATGATTTAAACATGCAACAGAGGCAGTCTGTGAACTCAAACAGAATTTTAGGATTGGATAGCATCTTGAATATTGTGATACGGAAGAGAGGTGAAGACCAGTATATGGAAACCAGTGATGATCTCATCAGACACATGCAAGAACAATTTAAAGAGAAAGCTCGCAAATCTGAGTAAGATAATCTGGCTTTTACCTTGGTCTGCATATTGACACTGTGCCATCTCAGTTGCATTTTTGGTACTGCAGAGTTCAACATGCCATATCCAACTAATTTTAATTTAGATCCTCTCAAAGGTTTTTGGTTTTGGTTTTTCTCCTATGATCATCTGTTGGTTTCTGTTGGGGATTAGATTGTTGCTGCGTTTAGCTGTACTTTGATATGACCACAGTCAGTCTTTGAGGATGGTAACTGAGGATTGCTCAATTCGGTGCTCTTTATAATGTAGAGAGGAAAATACCATCAACTAAATAGTCTAACTGCCCTTCATCCCATATTTCACCCTTGTTTTCTTTATGTTACTAAATCATCTCTCCTCTGTGTATGACATATTTCTCTTCCATGTTTGAAAGAGTAACTATACTTTTAGATTTCTCTTGATTTTTTGTTGGACTGGCATTATGTAGGTCAGTTTATTATCCAGCCACAGATGTGGTGATCCTCAGATTCATGATCGAGGTGTGCTGGGCACCTATGTTGGCTGCCTTTAGTGTGCCTCTTGACCAAAGTGATGATGAAGTTGTGATTGCATTATGTCTTGAAGGTTTCCGCAATGCAATTCATGTTACTTCTGTAATGTCCATGAAGACTCATAGAGATGCTTTTGTGACATCCTTAGCTAAATTTACTTCACTCCACTCTCCTGCTGACATCAAGCAGAGAAATATAGATGCCATCAAGGTTTGGTTTTTGCTTTATCGTATATCAATTCATCATTACTGTTGTAGTCTTATTCAACCTATTATGTAAAAGTATCTTTTGACTAGTGACTTCTATTCTGACTTCACCTTCATTATATCCATGCAAAGATAATTAATGTTGTTTTGGGCTTTTTATTTTTTGTTAGGCAATTGTCACAATAGCAGATGAAGATGGGAATTATTTACAAGAAGCTTGGGAGCATATTTTGACATGTGTCTCCCGATTTGAGCATTTGCATCTTTTGGGAGAAGGTGCTCCTCCAGATGCCACTTTTTTTGCGTTTCCTCAGAATGAGTCAGACAAATCAAAACAAGCCAAGTCAAATGTCCTCCCAGTTTTGAAGAAGAAGGGACCAGGAAGGATTCAGTATGCAGCTACTGCTGTGTTGAGGGGTTCATATGACAGTGCTGGTATTGGAGGCAATTCTGGTTCAGTCACTTCTGAGCAGATGAACAATTTAGTCTCTAATCTGAACATGTTAGAACAGGTTGGAAGCTCTGAGATGAATCGCATATTTACACGGAGTCAAAAATTAAACAGTGAAGCTATAATAGATTTTGTGAAGGCTCTCTGCAAGGTTTCTATGGAGGAGTTACGGTCTACATCTGATCCACGGGTTTTTAGCCTCACAAAGCTTGTTGAGATTGCGTAAGAACCTTCCTTCTTCCTTCTGTTCTTTTTTCTTTGGTACATCTTATTCCTAAGTTTGTTTCTATTTCCTCCTTTTTTGGATAGTAATTCCTGCTATTTCTGAATTGTAAATGTGGTCTTTGTTGACAGGCATTATAACATGAACCGTATAAGGCTTGTGTGGTCAAGCATCTGGAATGTGCTCTCTGATTTCTTTGTGACCATTGGCTGCTCCGAAAACCTTTCCATTGCAATTTTTGCAATGGACTCTTTGCGCCAGCTATCCATGAAATTCTTAGAGCGAGAAGAGTTGGCTAATTATAATTTTCAGAATGCATTTATGAAGCCTTTTGTGATTGTTATGCGTAAAAGTAATGCTGTGGAAATTAGAGAATTGATAATCAGATGTGTCTCACAGATGGTGTTATCTCGTGTCAATAATGTCAAATCAGGGTGGAAGAGCATGTTCATGGTATTAAATCATCACAAGAATCCTATGGTTATTGGTTTAATTTCAAAATTGTTACTCTAAATTTTTTATTTTATTTTATTTTTTTATTGCTGAATGATTAACTTTTCTTTTTTCTCAGGTTTTCACCACAGCAGCTTATGATGATCACAAAAACATTGTACTTTTAGCCTTTGAAATAATTGAAAAGATCATCCGAGACTATTTCCCATACATTACTGAGACTGAAACAACCACTTTCACAGATTGTGTGAATTGCCTAGTTGCATTCACCAATACTAGATTCAACAAAGAAATTAGCCTCAATGCAATTGCCTATCTTCGATTCTGCGCCATGAAACTTGCGAAAGGGGATCTTGGGTCCTCTTCAAGGAATAAGGAGAAGGAAACTTGTGGAAAGATATCTCCTTCTTCACCTCAGAAGTTGAAAGATGGAAGACAAGAGAATGGAGATGTGATCGACAAGGAGAATCATCTCTATTTCTGGTTCCCACTGTTAGCTGGTAAGGAAAAATATATCAGTTGGTGGTTTGGATACAGGTCTTTGATTTTGCTTAAGTTTTCATATTTATTCCTTTGCATCTTGCTTTTGATACTTTCGTTTCTGAAGTTAATCTGTAACTTGTTTGTGCAGGTCTATCAGAACTTAGCTTTGACCCTAGGCCAGAAATAAGAAAGAGTGCATTAAAAGTGTTATTTGAGACTTTACGCAACCATGGCCACCTATTCTCGCTGCGTTT